TTTTCTTAGTGGGGTTCCTCTTCAGCTAAAATCAAAGTATTTTTGCACTACTGAAGTTCCTTTCCTACATAATGAGCAGAAATCACAGAAGTCCATAATAAACATGTTATTCTGACTGAGATGCTGCCTAGAATTAAAATGGAACAATATACTTGATCAGATTAACACATTAATGAGATTTTTCACAAATTGCAAAGATGGTGACTTCTGAGTTTATTTAAATGACAGTTGCAACATATATATATTTGTGCCCCAGGCTTACAAACCTTTGGCATATTCTCTCCTAAAGCATTAGTGTTAATGATTTAATTGCTAATATTTTTCCTTTCCCATCTTGATTTTTTTTGTTGTTATTCCAATTATCAAAAGTATCATAAAGAAAGACCATATCTTGTATAGTAGCTTAGACCACCAGAGGGGCATGAAGAGAGTTTTGTCCCTCATTTGTATAACCTCTCTTGAGGTGCCAAAAGGGAATCCCTCTAACAATAACACCACAGAGGCAGTTCTTGAGAGTTTTATGTCTCAATAAGTAAATTGCAGGGAGGAAGGAAAGAATGCATTAGGCCAAGGAATGTGACATTTATCAGAGGTTAAAGTGAAATACAAGGTGTGGTGCCTACTGCTTCTTTCATGTGCACCAGCAGACATGAAGGATAATTCCTGACTTGAGGCATGTCTTCACCCTGGAAGAAAATGGATATCTTGTTAAGTAGGGCTGTGCTGGAAGGGTCTCAGACTCGCTCCAGATGTGACAAGGGATTCCCAACTTGCTGTTGAAGACCACCTCCCCCACACACTGCACCGGCGACATCTCAGCAGCTCCTTCTTCTCAAAAGAAGAATCGTCCAGCTCTTTCAGAAACCTTTGACCTAGGCCCTGGCTCTGCCCTCATACTTGAAACTTGTTACTCTGATATTAACTCCCAGAGGGGAGATTATCTTTCTTCCTGCTGTCCCCTAGACTCTCGCAGGAGCTGAAGATAATGTTTGCCTGGGACTTGACTTTCCAGCAACAACAAATCAGGAAAAAAGACAGACAAGCAAAACAGTGAAGCTACAAGTCTTAACTATTCCATTTGAGCAAGGCGGTTCCCGGGCAGCCTGCGATGACCTCCCATCCCATGTACTTTTGACCAGAAGCAATTCCTGGCCCTTTGGCATGCTGGGATTAGCAGGAGTCTCACAGGGTCCCTCTGCAGTGCCCCACATGGCCACCCCACCCCTGGTACCCTACTGAGCCAATGCAGTGAGCAGCTCCCAGATAAAACAGGTCAGGCTTTCTAATAAGCTATGCAGGAGATTTGGACACACAGTCACACTGAAATTGCGAGATGTTGGGTGTCAGTGCCCTCTAGATGACTTTCTATTTTCCACTTCATGTAAGTAACCCCACATACCCCCCTTCTTTTCCCCTGTAAACGAGTGGCCCATAACCCCAGGCTGCAACCACTTAGTTGGTTACTGGAGACAGAAACCAGTTGGCTTGTTGAAGCATTTCTCAATATCCCAAACTCATCCTCGTTTCCTTTTATTATGCCTCTACCTGTCACGTTCTTTGTGGAGAAAGGAAGAAATGCATTAACTAGAGTGAAGTGAGCGCTCCCTCCTCAGCCTTCCACCCCTCGCTGCCTCCACAACCTCACAGAGATTTCACTAAAAATGTGTAATTAGGTTCTGCAAACTGACTTCCTGACTGTATGCACTCTTTTCAAGTGCAGAAGCCCTAAGTGGTGATGTGTGTTTTTCAGAGCTGCTTTGAGTACCACTTCATTTTTCTAGCTTTTGTTTATGAAGTTATATTTACTTACCAGTGTCCGAGTACATCAAAGCCAGGTCCATTTGAAAAAATCTGAAAGCTCATAGATGATGTCACTTACTGGCGTGGATTTTGTGTATTCTGAAAAAGGTGTTATAGAAAATAGCTATAAATAGTCCGTGTTGAAAAGGCTGTGTTTGCACATGAGCTTGTATATGTTTGTCCATCCTTGTACTAGTTTGCCAGAATACATAAAGAAATCCTGTCCTGAGCAGGGGTTGTTTTAAACATGATCTAAAGTGCTCTGCTAACACAGGGTGTACCGAAGCTCATTCGGTGCTGAATCTGTGCCAAAGAGCTTTTCAGATAAATTACAAATTAATGCAATACGTCTTGTGAGCTTAAAGTATTTTTATTTTCTACTGTTCTCCCTCTCTTCAAGTGGGGTCTGCTGGTCCAGTGTGGACTTTTTCTTTTAACCATCATCATTTTCACAAGCTGTTGAGGAGAAATATTCCTCAAAAGCATCCATACTCAAAATTGATCTAGCCTACTTAAGACTCTTACTGCAAACTGGAATCCCTATAACACAAATGTGCCCTTCTCACCCCAGGTGTGCTTCAGCCTGGGCTATGAGAACTGCTCTGGTGTCCAAAGAGCATCCCTCTCCAGGACAACTTCAGCATTACCTACCAGGTGACAGTGTGTCCTGCTCTGGCTGTTGCTTTGTAGATGAAGGCTGAGGGGCCTCCCTGACAGTGAAAGCAGTCTGGGAAGCCGTGAAGACTTTCAGGCGCAGAGGTTATATCTGCTCAGCTCCTGCCTTTACGTGGTAGACCCCTACACTGGCAAGCTGTCTTAACCTGATACATCCTTGTGACAAATACATGGATCAGGCTGACCAGGTCCCACTCTAGGGAAAAAAAGCAAGCAAGCATTTTATGATGACCTGCTTTTTCCTATCCCCAGTGTTAGGAGCTTGTTTGTACGCTGATGGTAGTTTGAAAAAGGGGCCATGAGCCCCAGGCAGGCAGTGCTTTTCTTGGAGAGCAGTGCTTCTGAAATGAGAAACAGACAGAGAAAATAAAGACAGACTAAAACATACAAGCAAGGAGAGTTTAGTGGGCCAGCGCTGTGGTTTCTTGTTCCTTTTGTGTGGATGGTACCTGACTGCACTCCTTAGTGCACACTTCCACACAACCCAAAGGCTTCGAAGATCATCCTAGTTGCTTCTAATCACAGGGTCGCAAAACACTTTTTTTAAATGGTAATACAAAAATCCAGGACACTAATAAATACATAGAACTATCTAGAACATTTCATTATATGCTTTTGATTTGCTAGCCTCATTTAGGAGAAGAATGAAATTGCTAAATCTAAAATACTGTTCTTAACTACCACATTCATGCACTCAAACTGGCATGATTTAACTCCAACCAGCAACGAAGTACAGTTGAGCGAAGAGCAGACAGTGACACCCTGGCTGTTCTGCTTTTCACGCAATAAGCACACCTCCTTCTGGTTAAATCACTATCAGTGCAGATTTCATCACGCAGTGCCCAATACCAGGTCTGAGCTTTATTTTCAAGCTCTGTTTTCTCAGGGCTGGGAGATCCCTGAGATCTAACTAAAAAAATGAGCAGTTATAAGGTTGTTTGAATCCCTGTAAGTGTTGGAGCCAAAGCCAGTGTGGATCTTGCAGTGTTTACAGGAAGCTTTGCCTCTCTGACATAGTTTAGTTCCTGGGAGCCATATCCTTTGTCATCATACCTATCCTGTTTGCCCACTTCTCATCAGGGCTTGCTAGCTGGATCAGTGGCTGTATTGATATGGCCATCAGAGTTTTTGCTGACTTGGGAGATGGCAGAGAGGGCTTTTTCCTAACAGTGGACATACTTCCAGTCCTGCTGTGAGATTGTCAAGTCCCTCTAACTCAGTGGGTGTCCTATATATTTGAGGTGTCTGCATTGCAACAAGATTTTGCTGAATTCAGTATGTTGACTTTACAGAAGAAAAATCTTGGCACAAGTAGAAGGAAATGTGGGGGGGGGAAAAAGCAAGATGAGATGAACTAGCACGAGTTTCTGCTCTGACCCCCAGTCCTGTTCTTATACACCTACGTTCCCCGAAAGGTGCCATGGGGAAATAGGGAAGCAGCTGTGACAGCAGCAACAAGCAGGGACTGTACGTATAGTGAGGAGCTGAGGAGAGGGTGGTTAGTCTCAGCACTCTTTTAAGACACAGCACACCATGTTGCCCATGTAAGAATCATGCTTTTCAGGCACACTCTAGGAAGATCTAGGCACAAGTACAACGAGGTGGTTTGAAATTACTACATATGTCTTCTTGAGATATTTACACTCCGGGGACCACCCACGTCACAGGATGTGTTTGAATTGCTCACCAAGCTTTCTTCTGGAGTCGAGATGAAATTACAGATTCTTTTTTCCCAGAATGCAAGACAAATTAGCAACTTTCTGAATTATTACTATTATTACAGAGGTATTTTTCAAAAATAGGTCCCATTATTGAACACCTTTTAAGCACTGGGGGAAGTCTTTGCACCTCTTCAACTCCTTTAAATGCTGGTTACTTAACCTTAGCTTGTAAAAAAAATGCATGGAGGTAAAAACAGATTCTTCTTCTCTGTGAACCAGTTTAAGCAAGTTGAGGAAAGGATATGGGAAGAGAGGATGAAATCCCCATTAGAAAAGATGCATTATTTTCTATGTTTACATGACAGTGAAATCCTTGTGGATACTCTTGTGCGGAGACAATGTATTTTAGTTTTAATTGCTTCAGTCAATGTCAGTTTTGCATCAAACATGCAATAAAGTAAAAGTGGCCTTTGGGAAACATCACTGAACCTTATTTTGTGCTGCAGTACTGCCAGTGTAAACATCCAGTTCTGTTTTGTAAACTCAAAGCCAAATGGAGAAAAATTTTCCTTGCAGAAAGATTACTGACCTGTCAGCATCAAAAATATTATTTTTAGCATATAAAAATTGCAAAGATTCTTGCTATTATGATCACTGACAAGCAAAGTCCATTATTACTCTAGTAAACATTTTCCTTTAGGCAGCAATAGTAGGAAATTTATTAAGTTAGCTGATACAGAGTTATTGGGATAAAATATATTTCCTTTCTATTTAAATTATTAAATGTTTACAGTAGCTCTGAGAAAACATCAGATCTAAAGCATTTTTGGTAAGTTATGATTTATTCTACTGCTTGCTTTCCAGAATGCTAGAAGATGACCTCAAGTTAAGCAGTGACGAAGAAGAGAATGACCAGGTAAGAACCAGACAACTAGCATGTCACTTGTAGTATGTTTCATGTCAAGACTGAGCTACTGCAAATATTTTGCTAATGCTTTTTCAAAACATACATAGAGGTTATCAAAATACATGGCAGTACTGTAACTGGAGTAACAGATGTTGCTTCTCGGAGCCAGCCTCCATGTGCTAACTGCTGGATTGGTAGGGAACAGTCTGCACTGCTCTTGATTTATTACCTTGATGTGACCCAGAAGGTTTTTGTTTCAGCTTCCTTCTGATTTGAATTTGTTTTGTTTTAAAGACCAGCCAAGGGGGGGAGAAACTGGAATTCTGGATTAAGGATTCAAGCCAAACTTTTGCAATCATGAGATGGCCTCAGGAATTAGCTGCTGGGCTGCTTATCTTTTACCTGCCTCTGGCATCCCCCCAGCCCTGACCTCTTCTCTGAGCATTTTTGGTTCTGTCTCTGCATGGCCCATGCTTGCTAAGAAAACTGAAGGGAACTGAGAAAAAGCCTTGGCTGTGCATTTGGTTAACTCTGTAACACAGTAATTAGGGCAATTGCCTGTGTTTTAAAGACCCCAGACTACCTGACTGGCAGCAGATGCATCATCTGAAGTTTTCCGTGTGTCAGGAGAGCTGGGTTTTGTTGGGAGGCGTCTCCCAGTTTTTCCTTAAATTATTGCTGTGTTTTGTCTGAATAATTAAGGACTCAGTAGAATAAGGCTGAATCTTGACTTTCCCATGACCAGCTGAGTGCCTTGATGCCAAGCAGTGCTTTACCATGCTCTCTCTTTCTCAGTATACTGGCATGGGTGATTGGGTTGGGGATGAGAGGCCAAGAGCCACTTTGGCTCCTTCTTGCCCTAAAATTCATGTCCTGTGCCTTCACCACATGAGAGCAGTACTGCCCCTGGTTGCATCTCATAGATGGATCCAGACCTGGATATAACATGGTTTTCTGTCCTGGTTTTGACTGGGATGGAGTTCGTTTTCTTCCTAGTAACTGGTACAGTGTGGCTTGGATTCAGTATGAGAATAATGTTGATAACTCACTGATGTTTCAGTTGTTGCTGAGCAGTGCTTACCCTAAGTCAAGGACTTTTCGTTGTCTCATTCTCTCCCAGTGAGCAGGTGCACAAAAGGCTGGAGAGCTGGTGGGAGATCATGGCCAGGACAGCTGACGCGAACTGGCCAAAGGGAATTCCCTTACCACAGAACATCATGTTCAGTACATGAACTGGGGGGAGTTGGCTGGGAGGCACCAATCGCTGATTGGGGATGGGCTGGGCATTGGTCAGTGGATGCTGGGTAATAGTACTGTGCATCTCTTGTCCTTTCTTGGGGTTTATTTCTTCTGGTTTTGTTGTGTCCCTTTTTCTTGCAATTATTACTATAATATTATTATTTTATGTTATTTCAACTGTTTTTATATCAACTCAGGAGCTTTATAATTTTTTCTACCTCTCCTCCCCATCCCACTGGGGTGGGGGGAGTGAGCAAGTGGCTGCATGGTACTTCGTTGCTGGCTGGAGTTAAATCATACCAGTTTCAAATATGATTATTTCAGTCATGGGTAACTAGAGTTATCTAGACTTGAAATTCAGGATCTTAGACAAATAATTCTAGGTATGTAGGCATGAAGCTCTTCCAGAGTTTTCTTTAATTCTTGTTATTAGATGTCTCTAATTTACATATATTCCAAACAACAGGTAAAACAAAACCTTTGAATATTTATACTAAACCATTTTTTTATCTATTTTGAGCAAGACTTCTTGGTGTTAAGAAGATTCAGCATGTAGATTTGATTATTTACATATTTATACAATTTCTTTTTGTTTAACGTATTTCATCCTGAAACACTTCACATTTCATTACTCTTCCTGCTTGTCTAGATAGTTTAAAATACAGCTCATAGACAACATAGGGCAAAGTAAAGTGAGGGATGGAAGGGATGTCTGAAGAATAACAATAGCACACCAGTGTGCCGTGGTGCTTCCAGCAAGGGGCTGGGTGGGAGGAGAGGAACGAGCTGGTGGCCAGGAGAGATGGTTTGTCCTTCAGGCAGGGAGATGGGATCCTGAGTAATGGATGTCAGAGTGGAACAAGCTGTCAGAGCCAGAGAGATGAAATTCTAGTTTGCTTCATAGCAAGCAGAAAAGGACATGTGAAAGTGTTTATTGTGCATAAAGAACATTAGTAGGTTTAGGCAAAGAAGGGATTGCGGAAAAATAGCGCTATTCAGGCATGTGCACATGGTGCCTTTGGTTTAGCACTATGACTTATAATTTTTAACACCTTCCATGTGCTTGGATTGCTCAGTGTTATGTGTGCTACGTAGGGTCTCCCCTCGGAAACCAGGGCTTTAAGTTGCAGCTGATACAGCCTGGGTCGTTCACCTCGGTGCTCAAACAAGCTCTGCAGAGCCAAGACAGAACTTTCCACATGTGCAGCAAAGAGCAGGGCTGAGATCCCATTACTCACTTCTAAGCATCACAGGCCTTAGCATGAGCAACCTTTGGAGATTACTTAGTTATTTGGTCCCCTTTCCTTACCAGTTTTGATCAACATAACTGGTCTACTCTGGCCTCCAATTGGGAGGTCTGGAGACACACCATCTATAACACTGCTGATGCCTTTGAGAAAGCACGCAGGATCACTCTCGAGGAGAAAAGACAACACAGAAAGAATCGTGTCTTGCAGAATATACCATCCAAGGAGTCTTTCTGCTGCGCCTTTTGCAACCGGACATGCCTATCTCGTATTGGCCTATTTAGCCACCAGCGCACTTGTAGCAAACGTGGGTAGAGCCCTCCCCAAATCTTTGTGACCGTCATGAATGAACAGTCCCCTTTCCTAGTCACATTTTTTTTCTAACTTGACTCTACAGATAAAAATCTCCCAGAGGCACAGGCTGGCTCCTGCTCTATGAAATGCTTTGCAGAATCTCAGCTGAGACCTGCAGGTTTGCTTAAAGAACAGTCCTAAATAAATATGCCTGCTGAATAAACAAAACACTACCTTTTCATCCACCTAGCAGGAAATAGACCCAAAAAAGAATAACACAGACCCTCTCTGCCATCAAACACTCAGATGGGAACATGGATCTGTGTTTAAATGTCAGTAGGAGAACTTGTTTCCTTTTACTTCCTAACTCAGAGACTCCTTAGTCTCCTATCTCCTGAGCTTGGGAACAGTAAAGAAAGAAACCAAAGATAAATGGATAGGAACAGTGCATGAGGCATTCCCAGATATTCCTCATGTAATTCGTTAACCTTTGAGCAGTCAGACTCATTCAAGTAGTCCAGTTTCTCAAAGAGCTGAAGGTGAGCTGTACAAAAACTGGGAAGCTTTTCATTTTGCTGATTTCTAAATGGAGAAGTTTAGGGGAAAGACTTTGAAAACTTTGGAGGAGATTTTGCATTTACATCTGAAATTGCCAAGCAGCAAACAGGAAGTTTCTGAAGCAATGCAAAGGTGCTTCTGCTTCTGTGCTCCCAGGGCTGGCATTTGAAGGGCTGTGACTGACCCAAGGAATGTGAGCCATGGATGAGGGAGGCCAAATGCAAGACAGAGACATGATTAAGTGCTTCAAGACTGCAGTGGGCAAAGCATTCCCAGCCCTTCCCTCTGTACCAGCAATTAAGGTAGTGAGATTCACAGACTCAGGAAAAGAAAAAGAGGCTTGGTTTGAGCTGAGTATGTGTGCACCCACAGTAATTATATTATCCACACATATTAGTCTCTTAATTTTAATTACATAAATGTATTTTTCCTCTTTAATGAGCATAGTTTATCCATTTAATCTGATCATTTCAATTTTACAGGCAGTGATCATAGGATCTAATATGCAGAGAGAAAATTTCCTGTTGGCATATTTTACACCACACAGATTGAAGAAAATACACTTTTTAATCCTCAATCAATATCTGAAGAGCATGCAATTAACAGATACCAAGGTAGTTAACATAAATCTGCAAGTTAAAGAGCCAATTCATTTTGATTTATAACACATAGAGTAATAATTTCATCATCATCTCTCCCAGAAAGCATCTGAAGCTTTGTAGCATGAAGGTGTCAAAATTGTACTTAAGATTGTTCAGAGTACTGAATTGTAGTGGTTATTGCCTTTTGGTTCTTTGAAGTGTGGCATAGCACATGAAACAGTCCCCATTATAATATACCCTGCTCTTCTCCATAGAGGTCACTGGATAACTTAAATCAGTCTTGGGTGAAATATTAAAAGGAGATTGTCAATTGTAATATGAACAATTCTCTTCCCCCCCCACTTGTCCTTTTACAACATGAACATTTTGTAGTAGAAAGTAGTTCTTTTGAGGGGAAAAAGATCCCTGGCATCGTTTGTGCAATTCATGTCAATCAATAGCCAAATAAATTAACTGACTGGTACGCATACATGGAATAATAATCTAACGTATTTTTGCAACCCAAGTCTGTTTCCTTGTATGCATTTTTTTCTGTGCAGGATCAGGTTGGTTGCTGCTGAAGTTTTGTGGCTGTGAAAATTTATTACCCACAGAGTCAATCTGCATTCTGGCTGCCAAGTCTGAATAAATAGAGTCATTGTGCTTGTCTGGAAAATGTAACCAAAGTTCATCGAGTCAGCTTGACTTTCACATCCCATGGGATTCATAAAAGCCAACACCCTGGTATGTGCTCTTGATTCCTGCCAAAATTTTGTAAAATTGTATAAACAGAAGTTGAAGAAGCAATCATAACACACTCCCAGGGACATGGCTCTGCACTCCAGCCCCAGCAGATCTCGAAAGGGAAGACACAACTTTAATACGTTTTTTTTCAAAGAAAAAAGAGTAGCATGACTATGCTCCTGTGTGAGCAGGTAGATGTGGGGGCTAAAAATGCCCCCCCCCCCCCAGAGTGCACAGGGAGGCAGCAATCAATCCTCTCAGGTTCCTTGATTTTGCTCACGTGCCCTGCACTGAAGGAAGAGAGCAGGCAGCATTTGCCTGCAAGCAGCTGCCCTCCTCAAAAGGG